ACACGCAAGTGGAAGAACCAAAAACGAATGGATTTTAGTGTATTGCTAACTTGTAAAAGAGTACTGGGTGAGAAGCAACTTGACAATGATTGTTTAGAATCAATAACCCTTCCAAAGGAAAAGTTAAGAAGCAAACAACGAAAGCCCCTCAAACAGAAGGTTTTTTGAGAATTTGTCAGCTCATTACCTTGTTTGAATTATAAAATTGCTTCTTTGTCCTGATCAGAAAAATCCTGATATGACATAAGCCCCTGCTGGCCAAATTCTGTCACATGATCCCATAATGTCATTACTAATCATTGGGTAAATCACCATGGCCATTAACACATGGAAATAGATTTGCCTACTGGAAAGGTTATCAGTGAATAACAGTGCATAGACCAAAGCCCTGTAACCTGTTGCATCTCTAAACTATGGCATGCACTTGGGGCCACTCACATAGTAATTCCTGGCACCTCATCACTTGCTATAATGCAGAATATAGTAGAAAATGGGTCTCAATCCATGGACTCCGTTATTGGAGGGTGTGGGGAGTTTCTGACTGGCAGAAAGTCTTTGCTGCAACGTGGATTTACCTCTAAGGAGGCCCATGGGTGCGGGCCTGACAGCCCTGCTCAGCACGGTGCACTAACGAACCGTGCGCTAGTTGTTTTCCCTCTGTTAAATAAATCCGGCAGGGGTTATGAAGATGCTTTTAAGATTTCTGTTTTACTTCCTTAAATAAAACTACAATTTCAGTCTGCTATGAACCATGGACATTGCCATTCTCTAGGTCAAAAAAATGGTTGAGTATCAGCAGTTCTATAAGATTTGACCTAATTGTTAAATGGTCATGCAGATTTGGTACTACAATGTAACTGGGAAGAAAGCAAGAACTCAAATGTGAACACTAAATGCCTTGTTCCTTTCAAAGGAAGTCCTATCCGGTTAAAAGAGAAGGCAAATTCCTATTAGCTGCAATTATTATTTGGGGAATTTCTAATCACAAGGTGCTGTGAAGTATACACAATATACAGAACATTACCCTTGAGGAATTTATCATCTGTAGGTGAGGATTTGCCTAAATATAGATCAAAAATAGTGTTTCCACTTTCTACACAGCAAGCAAAAATGCTTTATTGTAAAGTGCAACTAATCTCTCATAAACTATACTGATGCCAGTACCACACATACCCAGAAATATCACTTACTGACCTTATTTTTAATGCACATCCACCCCCCCTCCAAAACACACACACACACACACACACACACACACACACACACACACACACAACTCAACTATATTAGTTTTCTTTCCAGGACTGGCGACGTAACTTGTAGGAATAATGCGAGGTCCCTTGTTAAAAAATGATTATGAATTTTGAGATGACGCCAGAAGAGCATTAAACTGGGGCCCTTCTCTCATGGAAACCTGTGGAACCACCCAGGTTGCATGCCCACGAAACCAACCTTGCTTCTTTCTGTTTCTCATATGTGCCAGGCTCATTCCCACACCAGGGCTTTGGTACTTGCTATTCTCTCTGCTTGGAAAGCTCTTCTCATGGCTAAGGTCTCGGCAAAAACACGTCCTCCTCAGAGCGGTCTTTCTTTACAACCCCTACCTAAAGAAGCTCCTTCTTTTGTCACTCTCTGAATACCACTTTGCTTTCTTTCCAATACTTTGCTCTGTTATTTTCCTGCTAATTTATTTATTGACTTATTTATGGTCTCGTTTCCCTCCACTGGGATGTACACTCCACAATAGAAGTGATTTTATCTTGCTTTACTTCCTCTTGTTTGCATCGTTCCTCAAATAGTACTTGGTACATAGTAGGTGTCCCCTAAATAAGTTTTTGATGAATAAATGAACAAACTAGGTTATTTACAAAATATTTCTAATTTGTAAAAAAGTTTCACTGGTCTTCAACTTTTTGTGTGTCCCCAAAGACACAGCTAACACACACATGCATCCAAACGGAAGAATGATCCAATGAGTGAAATTCAAAACTTCATCCAATGCAATGCATCAAAAACGGAACATCCATTCAGCTGTGATTACTAAGAGATTTATCTTTAGAAATCATATTGCATTCTAAAGGTCAACCTGCTTTTAGAGTTAATTCTGCTAGGGATCTCATAACTTAAAATTATTATGTAAACTGTTGTGTAAAATTGTTATGTTAAGTAAAAGTGAAGAGTAGGCATATATTAAAATGTTGACAGGAGACATCTCACAAAGTAATTTCTAAGAAAATATGGTAATTCTTAATTGCAATTGTGCCTACTGCCGATAATAGAATATAATTATTAAGACATTGTTAAACATTTTATTAGAAAACTGAATGTAGCTATACTTTTTTCACAAGCCTATTATTGACTTCAGAGTAGTTAAATAACAAAAAAAAAATCAAAATAATTACAAAAGGTCACAAAAATTAAGACTTTGAGCCTGTAAAGGAATTGCTATCATGCTATCATGAAAGTATCCTTGGTTGAATTAACCTGAAGCTCATGTTAGATTACAAAGCCTCCCATAAAATACTTATTTAATTGTATCTTTTAAATTTAAAAGTCAAAGATAATGGCCCCCTAAGTCTTGATTTTGCTTTTCATGGCCCAACTGGTTCTGGCTGGCGAGTTGATACTGCATGCAAATTATCTTTTCTGGTTGATTTCATAGTTTCCAGCTACAACTAGAAATTAACAAAACAACTTATAAGTACTGACTGTTGAAGACTTTTCTACATATCCAACGAGATACGCAATGCAAGTTAAATAGGAGAGCATTTGCAATTTAAAATATAATTTTCCATAATGAAAATGTAAAGCAGTCATTCTGTTTCATTCAGCATGGCAGGTTAGGAATCCCCGTGAAGCTATGTTGAAGCAAAGACTAGATTAATAATTTAATTTGGTTCAGAACTATGCAATGGGGCACCACAACCTTTTATTCTGTAACCAGCTGCTGACCCTAATATGGATGAACCAATTAGACATCTCTATTTAATTGTTAGGTGACCCATCTAAAACTCACTAGGAATTTTCATTTTAAACAACACTTAAAGACTCCTAGTTACCCCCCTGGTGGAGGTGGTTGATTTGATAGAAGCACACAAAGGAGTCCAGCAAACGGGAGAAAAAACTGCAAGATCATTTTAGACTGTGTTCTGTAAAAGAACATCTTAATATAATGAGCCTTTTTTCAGTCTCCCTTGGCGGAGCATCAGCCCTCTCAGATAACCCCACACAAAGCAAATACCATTCGTCTGAAGTTACATTTGCTCCCTGTTATCACAACTTATGCCACTTAATTCATTATTCAACGAATTCACTTTCTTGTTTATTAGATGCAAGGTAGCCGCTTATCCCTAAAGGCCACGTATGCAAAAGACTGCTTGTAATCCTGTCACTTCAAACCTCTCTAGGCTTTTATACTGCTTCAAGAATTAGGAGGAAAGAAGCAAACAATTTAGATTTATTCCTGATGATATTAAATCTGTACATGATGAAAGAAATAAGAAAGAAATGTGAACCTGAAGTTTGTTGATTTGGAAAGTGGCTTCAGATGTTATCTTTACGTGTAAAAGTTAGTACATTCACTCGTTTCCCACAATAAACACCTAGAATTAGTCTTCCTACATGAAAGGGGAATAAATTAATTAAATGCATTTTTCTTGGGTACAGGTTATCTGTGAAAAAGGTAATATATCTCATCAACTGCATTTCAAAGACGCAGGCTAGCTCAACCATTCACGTGCTTAAGACAGATATTAACATACTTTAAAATCTGATATCTGATCTGTCAAGGTTTTGGGGTACCATTCTTTAAGTATATTTAATATTGGATTAAAAAGTGCAATGAAAATGTTTCTTTTCCAACATGGGTAATTCAAGATTCTTTTTGGTAGTCAATAACAAGATATGATAAATATATTCTGCATAATATGATATAACTATTTGAACTGTTCACACAACATAATATTAATGGTCAGAGATATTTCAAGTTGATTCAGTAATCTTATGCTATTAAAATTATTAAAATGTAAATGAATTACTGAATTAAACAACTTTCACTGCACTCTTAGCACAATTAATATTGTATAAAATTATCTGCATAATTATACACAGTATGTTTACATAAAACATCCAGGAAAAAGCTACAAATCAGCGGCTGAGTATAAAATATTTTAAGCTGTGCGCTGAAGTCTTCTAAATATGGAAATCTAAGTGGTTGTTTAGTATTGGTGCTTGATGTAACTGCAGACAGTTCTAAATTTTATGCTTTACTTATTTAAATGCTAAATAACCCTATACTTATTTTTTTAATTCTTATAAATATATATGATTTATAAAATGTATCTAGACTGAATGTGTTTTAAACCTCTGTGCATTATACACAAAATTAAGGGCATTTATTTCCTTCAATTAATTTACATTATGGGCTAACTACTTGAGATTCAACATTAGTTCATCAACAAAAGCCACAGAGGACATTTTAATGCAGCGTATATACACAGATATGACTAGGACAAAAGACTCGACATCCCCAGAAAATAGGAACCATTTATAGGGAATCTCATTTTATGAATAGAGTTGTGACTAATAAAATGATTTGTACAGAATTACCTGCAACTATTCTAAGGAAGGAAACACACTTGGAAATTCACATATCGAGTAACGGTGGATATTACTGTAGTTATTGCCATTCTTCCAAAACATCAGTCATAGTAATATAGGGATGAACAAATTGATTCACCTGAATAATTAACCTTACCACAGCATAACTACCTTAGGTGCAGATTAATGTTTCCTCTTCAGCTTAAGACATAAACTTACCAGAGAAATCACACTCATTAAATATACTGCAAAAATCAATTGTTTTCTGCCACTCTGAGGAATTAATATAACAACTAAGTTGTGCAGTGTTTTTAAAAGCTTATGTTCATCTGTGCCGATTAAACAGAAACAACAAAATAGAACAAAATGAAATTAACAAAGAGTGCTAATAAAATACAACTCTTCTGTTGATATCTTATATAACTTTATTCATTATTGTACAACTTTTGGTTTTTTACATGTGGGAGATTTAAAAAGTCACTCAGTGATTTTTATAGTGCAACCGTATGCTAGATAAAGATATTTAAGCTGTCAGTATAAACTGCTTCTGTTTTCATTTTGCATTTAATTTCAATGCCAGACTCAAGGCATAAATTTTTCATCACCTGCAATGCTATGAATAAAAGATTAAAAAAAGAACTGAGAAGAAATTCTAACACATGCGGTGCATGCAGCACATTGTGCAGACGTAGTATTCATAACTAGATGTTTAATTTCCATCTTTTTTTTTTTTTTAACGTCAGGAACATTATTATTTGAGTTAATACATCATGGAGCTAATTTCCAGTATTTCAGCTTTGCAGAGTTTAAGTTTACCTAGTTTGGGCCAAATAGGCCATTCATTCCACTTGAAATCTGAAGTATACACCCTAGGATTTACATGCTACTTTGTTAGCACCGCTGGATTCTATTACTCTCGTATTTCTAGAAAGGGAATATTTCAACATCATATATTTTTGTTTTATTCCATGAAATAGCATGTACATTAACCTTGCCTGAAAGTTCAAAGAACTGAGAATTACAGAAACGATCCCACCTAATATCAGTTCCTCATTAAGGCTTGCTTCGTGTTCTCAGCCGAAAGATATAATCAATCCCAAGAGGCAAAGTTATGAGCTCAGTGTTAAGGCATTTTTTTATTTAGTACTTAGGACTGTTTTCTGTAGCACAATGCATCTTCATTGTCACTTTATTAGCCTCCAAAGGACACACACACCAGAACAATTTCTAATTCTTGCCAATAGACTCTTAGTGAGCAAGAGATATGCAACAGCTCTTCCTAATCTCATCAGGAGGGCCCTGGCTTTATTAGCCTTTTCATTCTGAAACCTCACTTTCTCAGGGCAGTCAAGAACCTGTTGAGGACGTCAGGCCTGTTGGGGACAGCAAGAGTTAGTCCCTCAGATGTCAGTGACATCTAATAACATCTAGCTTAATGTCTTTGGCTCTAATTATTCATACTAATTTTTTACGGTTATTGAAATTCAATCTAGGGAAAGCTTTGGAAAAAGAATAAGCCAAACCATGTTCTGCTACATTATTATCAGTGGTATCCAATTAGCTCAGTTGATTAGCTGATAGTGCTAATGAGACCTAGATCATTGGCTCAATTCCAGGGTAGCCACTTAGTTTTACTTTGTTCGATAGTCACAGACAGATACCTCGTTTTACCCAGGTGTCTTAAGTGCTACTGGTCACCAAAATAACCGAATGAGAGAGTAAGAATGAATCAGTGCAAACCCGTCCCTACAACTAGGCTCTAGAGGGCATCGGTATCACCTTTGCGATGATCGTACAAAAATAAGTATTTTAATGAAAGAAAACTCTTTTTGGCTTATTGTTTATGACTGTAAAGCAAGCACTTTATATCTTCAAAACATTAATGGGCTTTAATTAGCTAGACTTTATAACGTCTCTATGATGTTGGCAAGTTTAATTAAACTTACTTTACAGATGACAAAGCTTAAACTGAGAGATTGAGTCACTTGTCTGAGGTCACATAAAATGTCAGGGGCATTTCTCAGATAAGAATCCCTGTCTTCTGTATCTCATTCCATCATAGTACCCATGAGACTGCTCTGCCTCTATGGAAACATCCTAAAGTCACAGTAACATGTCACTATATTATCACATTATTTTTCATTATGCCAGAAGACACAAGCTTAGTGAAAAGACATGGTAAGGCAAGGATTACAGATGTATCTCCTTTTAAGCAACATAAATGTATGGAAATTTGGATTTGTTGAACAGATAAATTAGAGGGTGTCATGTATCACTTAGTCTATGCTACCTCACATTGCTATTAACCACTTTTTTTTTGCATGTCCTAACTTCCCAACTAGACAGCACAGAGACCAGACCATGTCTTGCATCGCTTTGAATCGGTAGTAGGTATTAATAAATATTTATTCATGACAATGGCATTTGACTGGAGGGGGACAGGAGAATATAAGACTTCATACGCTACGGGAATGGTAAAATAGGGAGGGAGAGAGGCTTCATGATGGTGGGCAGGGGTGGATTTTTCCCGTTGAACTTCTGTCATTATGGCAATTCTATTTTAATATATTATAAGCAAAAGCTTTATAAGAACACCTAACACATATCCCGGATAGCCCGCATGAAGAGGATCTAGAGAGATTACACAATTAAGGAAAATTCTTGCCAAGGGTGGAATGCTTAGCATCAGGGAGAGGAGGCAAGTTGATGCAGCTGTGGAAGGTAGAGGCTTCACTTTGCAACCCCACAGCATCCTGTCAATAGGGAAATGGTGTTGTGAGATTAGTTGCTCAGTATTACAGAAGAGAAAAACACATGGTGGCGGGGCAGCGGGGAGGACAGTAAACATTTTCCATTTTATAAAGTGATTATTCATAAGACGTTTTAAAGTTGTGTGCTCTTCTCATGACTGAAGTGATCGTAAGTTAAAACTGATTTACTAGCAAGTTTCAAAAATACGGCAATTTTGTGAGTTAAAGTATGCCTGTAAAGATTTTCCTCCCCTTGGGTAGCTGACTTGGATTTGATTCTCTTAGTAAGGATCAAGTCAAGAACTATTGAGTTTGCTTTGTAACATGAGGAACTGTTTTGGAAATAGGTCTTAACACCTATGTGATCTAAGAAGGAAATGGCAGCAAACTCAAGGTATAATGTGCATATTCCTCGGACATGGGCCAATCCAAGTTTTTCATTTCAATACAGTCATCTTCTTCCTGTTCATGTCTCTCTATCATTACATCTCTGATTATTGGACTCTTTCAAAGAACAGCCTTATGGAGTCAATGGAATGGTCTTATCACTAACTCCCATAGTGGTTAGGGATAATCACTTTTTTATCTTATATATGAATAATCTGCACAAGATTATTAGAAAATATAAATTCATTTCTCAACCTTGTTAAAAACTAGAAAAAATTAAAGTCATTTAGCGCTTATTCTCAGGTGAAATATAGCATTCACTTTCATGCTACACAGATTTACAGTAAAATTACATGGTCAATATAGTTCAATTTTCATCTTCTGATTTTTAAAATAATATTAATGAATTAGAGCTTTATACTATTTGAGCTTTGAGACTTCCTTAATGTGTAAGAAAATGTACTAAACACTAGTATTTCAGGGATGGTTTCTTCCTACCGCATTTGGATTTATTAACCTAGGAAGATTCCAGGTCCATGAACCCCTTGAAAGCATATGCATATTTGGAGGGGTATATGCATATGTTGCATGTTTCTAGGCAGAGAGCTTTTCCTAGAACTTCAAAGGAGTTCTTATTTCAAAAACAGATGTAGTACTGTACATCTTCATCTTGTGTTTGCTTTTAAGAAGTTAATATTTATCTCTTTATAATACTGAAAGATACCTATATGTATACATACATGTATTCAGTGTTATTTCTTTATGAATTAGCAGGATACTCAAATGAGTTTAAGATGCTAGAATTGATGGAGTGCTTCCCAGAACTTCTGCTGCCTGTGTCCTTGTCCCCATGGTGAGCCACAGCCACCCCCCACCTCTGCAGGAGACCCTCCAACACTAGCAGCTGTGTGGCTGACAGGGTGTTGGTGCTCCGGCCGGGCGTCAGGCCTGTGCCTCTGAGGTGGGAGAGCCGAGTTCAGGACATTGGTCCACAAGAGACTTCCCAACTCCACATAATATCAAATGGTGAAAGCTCTCCCAGAGATCTCCGTCTCAACGCTAAGACCCAGCTCCACTCAATGGCCAGCAAACTCCAGTGCTGGACGCCCCATGCCAAATAAATAGCAAGACAGGAACACAACCCCACCCATTAGCAGAGAGGATGCCTAAAATCATAATAAGGTCACAGACACCCCAAAACACACCACCGGACGCAGTCCTGCCCACCAGAAAGACAAGGTTCTGCCCACCAGAAAGACAAGATCCAGCCTCATTCACCAGAACACAGGCACCAGTCCCCTCTACCAGGAAGCCTACACAACCCACTGTACCAACCTTAGCAACTGGGGGCAGACACCAAAAACAATGGGAACTACGAACCTGCAGCCTGCGAAAAGGAGACCCCAAACACAGCAAGATAACAAAATGAGAAGACAGAGAGACACACAGTAGGTGAAGGAGCAAGGTAAAAACCCACCAGACCAAACATATGAAGAGGAAATAGGCAGTCTACCTGAAAAAGAATTCAGAGTAATGATAGTAAAGATGATCCAAAATCTTGGAAACAGAATGGAGAAAATACAAGAAACATGTAACAAGGACCTAGAAGAACTAAAGAGCAAACAAACAATGATGAACAACACAATAAATGAAATTAAAAATTCCCTAGAAGGAATCAATAGCAGAATAACTGAGACAGAAGAATGGATAAGTGACCTGGAAGATAAAATAGTGGAAATAACTACCACAGAGCAGAATAAAGAAAAAAGGATGTAAGGAATTGAGGACAGTCTCAGAGACCTCTGGGACAACATTAAATGCACCAACATTCGAGTTATAGGGGTCCCAGAAGAAGAAGAGAAAAGGAAAGGACTGAGAAAATATTTGAAGAGGTTATAGTTGAAAACTTCCCTAATATGGGAAAGGAAATAGTTATTCAAGTCCACAAAGCACAGAGAGTCCCATACAGGATAAATCCAAGAAGAAACACACCAAGACACATAATAATCAAACTATCAAAAATTAAGTACAAAGAAAAAATATTAAAAGCAGCAAGGGAAAAACAACAAATAACATACAAGGGAATCCCTATAAGGTTAACTAGAGGGGTGGGATAGGGAGGGTGGGAAGGAGATGCAAGAGGGAGGAGATATGGGGATATATGTATATGTGTAGCTGATTCACTTTGTTATAAAGCAGAAACTAACACACCATTGTAAAGTAATTATACTCCAATAAAGGTGTTTTAAAAATAAAAAATAAAATTAAAAAATGAAAATTAAAAGAAAATAAAAATTTTATATGAGATGCAATTAATCAAGAATGATTAGGAGAAATAAAAATTAGGAAAATAAATACCATTGTAAAGTAATTATACTCCAATAAAGATGTTAAATAAAAAATAAAATTAAAAATGAAAATTAAAAGAAAATAAAAATTTTATATGAGATGTAGTTAATCAAGAATGATTAGGAGAGATAAAAATATGACCAAGGCAATGATTTAGACTATTAAAGAAAGAACATTTATGATAAAAAAATAAACAAAATGCTAGAATTTGTTTCTAATAATGAAAAAGAAAGGAAAGCAACACACATGACAACTAAGAAAATTTACGCTAATTGTAATATTTCTATACTAAGCACTGGAAGAGATTAACAGAGGCAGTTAAAGAAATGTCTTCCCTTGAGATATTTGAGATATAAATAAATCCTCTTTCTAAGAGATATTAGGTGTAGTTCTTCCTAGGAAGTAGTGTGCTAGACTAGAAATCTTGGGGTCCTTTCCAGGTTTATACTTTCCTCATTATGTGCTTCTAGGCAATGTAAAATAACTATTTTTATTCATTGTCAATCAAACAGATCACTTAGACACATGCTATGCTTAGCTAACCTGTCTTTTAAAAAGGAAACCTATTTTGAACCAAAATACCCTAATCACACACACAAACAGGCACAGAGGATGAGAAGAGAGAGAACTGGGTTCCCTTTAGATTTATATCACCAATTCACTGAGTTCTCAAAAGCAAGTTAATCTTGCCCCAAACCCTTGAAATATATGTATATGTTTTACTCCCAATTGCCTCAAATACAGAAAGTTGGATTTGAGATTCTTAGTCCCTATTCCAGGTTTATGCAAACAAAATTGCTTGAGAAGGGCCCCGGGAATCTACAGTGTAACAAGTGGTCCAATACACCCATGATCATGCAATTTCAGCAAATCTGGAAGGATGTTATATACTTAGCCCTTTAAGATTTTGGGATTTTGGCTAGTTGGTATGTGGTTCCTTTCTTCTGAAGATCTTCAACATATTATGTAACTCCCTGAAATCAATTTCACCTAGAGGCTGGGAGAATAATTCCAATCATGAAAGGAATTGTAGGTGAATATGCAACACAGCATTCAAGGAGTTAATTCAAAATTCTATTGTCGGGCTTCCCTCGTGGCGCAGTGGTTGAGGATCTGCCTGCTAATGCAGGGGACACGGGTTCGAGCCCTGGTCTGGGAGGATCCCACATGCCGCGGAGCAACTAGGCCCATGAGCCACAACTACTGAGTCTGTGCGTCTGGAGCCTGTGCTCCGCAACAAGAGAGGCTGCAATAGTGAGAGGCCCGCACACCACGATGAAGAGTGGCCCCCGCTTGCCACAATTAGAGAAAGCCCTTGCACAGAAACGAAGACGCAACACGGCAAAAATAAATTAATTAATTAAGAGTTAGGACTTCAACATATTCATTAAAAAAAAAATTCTATTGGCAAGAAATATAGAGGAATGGGAACATGTGTATGATATTAAAAATAACAGCTTTCTTTATTGTCCTTTAAAAATCAGTACTGATTTCAAAAAGCATTGATAAGCACAGGGTCAAAATGTTTTTTCAGTCATACTCTTGGGGATCCATTAATATATTCTTCTGGACAACTGGTTCTATTCAGATCTCACAAAAAAGGCTTTTAATTCAAAAGGGGAAGGGCAAGGTATTGGTGGAAAATTGTAAAAGGTTTATGTCTGTTTTTTGTTTTGTTTTGATTAACAAAATTGAGAGCCAAGACAACTTCTGTTTCTAATCATGTTTCTATTAACTTAGACCTTTTTTTCCCCAACCTGAAAGTGTGGGGCAAAATCTCTACAGAGTCATTTGCCCATATAACAATGCCACTTGGAGAATAGATCTATGACCAAAAACATTGTTAACAATGGACATTTTTGCCTTGGGTATGAGACCCAGTAACATCATAGTATATTTTAAATAACGTAAGCTTATATATAAAGGAGTAAATATAAATACAGGAGTAAATGCAAAGATAATGACACATCTATTGACAAACACCAGAGCTTCCCAATCAACAGGAAGTGACTGCAGGTTTAGCAACTAATCTACAAAACAATGTCAAAAATATGAGTGGTAACCTAATAATGAGAATATACCTTTCTTAGGTTTCTAAAAGGTAATGCCTAGACATACTGATGTATTTCTAGATTTTTCTTCATAGAGGAAATGCTACAGAATGAATGGCGGTCACTGCACATCAGAGGGCTGCTCTACTGTAAAGGGAAGCCCATGCAGCCATTTTGGTGTAATCTTGCACAGCTCAGTCGGTAGCTCCATGCTGA